GGCTGTGTGAGTATGTTTACCTTTGAGCCAATTTATACAAATAAACCACACGAGTGAGATGGAAATTTTACACGTACTAATGAAAACAGTTGGTAGTCCTGGAGAATCCAACACTTTGTAGCTGGTAAAACCAAGTCAGTGACCTTTTGAGAAATGTTGAACCACTCAGATTTGCATGTCCTAGAAATCCTGTGCGACTGCTTCCTAGAAAGCATTTACATTTCTGGCATTTAGTGGGTGCTCTTATCTAGAGAGACTTACAATAGGCAGCATTTTAGTGTCTCGCTCAAGGGTTCTGCAACAAGACACTTAGCTTGTGATGGATAAACACTGACTGTTGTTGTGGGGATCTGACACATGACCTTTCGGTAACTGCCTGCATATTTTTATGATTCCCAAGCTGTCATAAGCTGTAGTATACAGAAAAAGCAAATACATGTTTCTGTGAGTATTTTCTGGAAGTCCATTAGCAGCCTAAAATGAAGCCTTATTATATTCTTCTCAGCTACCTTGTTTTATTCCATATTTTGGAAATGATCTTCCATGTTTAGACTGACCTTAAAACATGGGTTTGGCAATAATCTCAAGAGACTTGCTACCCTACATCCTTTTTAGCAAAAATAAACTGAAATGAGGTGAACTCAATCCACTTGGATGCAACAAAACAGGAGGACAAGAGACTATGTTACATGAGTATGAATGCGTAGGCTCCATTTTATAAAAGAATGTTTATCTGTGTCATTCATTTTCATGACTGTCTTATTCCTTTTCAGGAAGTTCCACAAGACCGGAGCCTTTCCAAGCACGCTCTAAGCAGGAAGCAGGGAGACACTGTATTTCAGACATGTCCACAATTAAACACTGTGCTAACACAGCTGAACTGCATTTCTAGGGAGAAAACCTCATGAGGCGACAATGTTAGCCACCAAGCCACTCTGCTGCCCTCCAGACTCAAAGTAAATGGAAACATTATGCTTGATCGACATTATGTTAAAAATTCAACACCTATCTCCCTCAAGACAAATAGAATGACAACTGACAGAAGAACAGAAGAATGCAGGATATTAATTATATTACAGGAAATAATGCACATAATGCATTAGTGATTAATACATTGCTGCAATTTGATTGTGCAATGTGCATTTTGATCTATTACATAATTGTCCAATAACATTTTTATTACCCTTTTTATTATTATCATGCCATTAAGCAGCGGAGCACAAGAACACCCACAAACAAACCACACAGACATATCATGTCTCCTAAAACCATGACAAACTCCTACAGTACAGATAAACAGAACGGGGGTGAGCAGCAGAACATTCCTAATCATGGACATCAGCCATGATCACAGGAAGTTTTGGAATAAATAAGTGATTTTGTGATTTACAATTTTTTTGGGAGCTGGAAGTTCTGGCTAAAGAGAAATAAATGAAGTACGAACACCAAAACAGCATATAAACATATCATGCCTCTCTATTTGAACAAGGCTTTTGGTGATTCTCTATATTCTAGGGTTGCAGTCGATCAGAAAATTGAAAACAGCAGTGCCTCAGTGACTTACATTCGCTGCTGACGTGACAGTGTCTTAAAGCCTGTTTGAGCATACAGTAAAGAGGTGATGTGAATACATAACAAGGACTTTGGACACACAGAAGTTGCTAAGCCAAGCATATACTGCTATTAGAACAGTTCTGGGGAGTTGAAACTGCAGGGATTGGTCCCAAGGTCAGAGAGAGTGCTGAGACATGGACACTTTGACTGCATCAGTTTACGTCAATAGCATTCAATCTGTACCAGTGTTGCACAGAGCTCCTTTTATATATGACCTCCAAAACACTCTTTCAGCCTTGGATCAGATGGTATGAAACCCATTCAATGAACAAAATTATAAATGCAACACTTTTGTTTTTGCCCCCATTTATCATGAGCTGAACTCAAAGATCTAAGACTTTCTCTATGTACA